ATTTATAAATGAGTCTCATTACGAATACGTCGCACGTATCGCATTGTCACGTGCCTTGTAAAAAAATAATTAAAATGTGACTGAGCAACTGATGAGCGCAGATTTCCCTCGCGGTTTGGACTCTGAACCCTGGCTAACAAGCAGATAGCACCGCGAGCTCCCGGTGCTTGTAATGATTTTTGCGTCTTTCTCGGACACTTTTAAATGCTTCCACAAAGCTGACATGTTTGTTGCATTGCGCAGCTCACTCTACACTGGTTGCTATTTGATCGCATCACGTTATTGTTCAGTACAGTTTATTCGGTCTTTTACGCTTATTCGGCCGAACACCTAAAGAGCTTTTAATTTCGGTTACCGAACATTCGGTGCATCCCTACAAGCATAGCAGTGGATATTCTTAAATCCATTGCTAACATTAGGGCTGTCTAAATAACTAACAACATAAAAATATTAAACAAAAGAAGAAATAATGCTAGGGTAACATTTTATGGTAAAAAAAATTGTTTTTCTAAGAAAAAAAGAATATCATGATAAAAAAAAAATCAGTACAACTGTAAAATCACAAAACTAATATTTATGACTCTCATTTATTCCTAATTTTGAAACATTAAACCATCAAGCATTTATTTTAGCGGAAAACTGTGGAAAAAGCTTCTCTTTTGTTGACAACAGCTGGTTTAGAAGCGCTTCTCATTACAAGTATGGGAAGATGTTGGTGCATGTTGTGATCCCAAAAACTGAAAACACATGAGCTGCTTATGTGTAAAAGAACAGTGTTGCTCCTCACTCTTAAGCATGCAGCACATATATTTATTTAATTAAACCACAGCCGTTGTGATTTGATAATCACACTAAGCCATATCTAGATTTCAGTTTTATTTCAGTTAATTGTGCTGCCTTATCTCATATGACAATAACTAGGTCAGTATATTACAGTAATGCAGAACTGGAACAAGAAAGACTGAAATCAGTCACAACCCAGCCCAACTGCTGTGTGAATGTGCTTCTCTGTGAGCTAGTGGGAAAAAAGCCCCAATGACTTCCCACGTGACTGCATATCTCTATGGCTTTTCACTGTCTCAACTGTGACAGGGGTGTTGTTTGGGGACTCACCCAAAAGCCCTTGTTGAAGCTAGAGTGCTTATTTGTGGCATTCTGATACTGTGGCTGGTACACTGTACTTATCGTACAGATGACAACTGTGTTTGTCATCACTGCAGTCACAGACATGCATTGTGTTGCACAAGGCTGAGAAGAGTATAATTGTTCCTTTTATGATAAGTTATGAAGTTGAGCTTGAGTTAAATTTTCTTGTTTGTGTGTGGAAGTGTATCTATACGAGTGTGTGTGACAGTGCCCTGCAGTTGGAATAAATCGTTGTTGTGGGTCAGCAAGCAACTACTCTGAGTGCCCTGAACAGCAATGGAGTGGAACAATGTCACCGCACACTGTACAGCAGGGCCCATCCCGTGCTAAAGGTGACATTTTCTTCTGCTGCCTCAGAGGTCAATTTCAACCTCTAGGCCACCTATATGGACTATGGTTCCAATCTCGTTTTCCACTATTAAGTTGCACAATTAAATCTGCCATTTACGGTAGGAAGGAGCATTTAATGATGATATACTTGGAAAAGGCTTGTCCAGGGAGATTTTGTAGGCTGCTTTGCCTTGTGTTTGCTCTGCAATAGAGGCAAGAGGAGTCTAATGACAGCTGGGAGGGAGCTGCTCTCTGTGGCTCAGGGAATTCACAGTGCTGTCTGCCTGAGCTCAACTTACTACTCTCCCTGGACTACTCAGGTATACAGTCCTGCTCCACCAGCAAACTCCATTCACTTCCCGTTTATTGATAATGAAAGTTGCTGTGTGTCATTGCCTTGTGTCATTGGAGGTTGAATGGATTTATATGCGTGTATCAACATAACATATGTCCTGTGCAGATCTGATTTGGTTCAACAGTTACTTTGGTAGCTGTCATGGAATTTTAAGCAGCGACAGCAGTCTTGTGAAGTGTGGCATGCTTATATAATGTATGTACAGTTATGGCCAAACGTTTTGGCAGTGACATAAATTTTGTGTTTTGCACAGTTTGCTGCTTCTGTATTTGTAGATTATTTTTCCACATGTTTCTATGGTATACTGATAAACAATGATAATAATATCATTCGTTTTAAAGGCTTTTATTGGCAAAAAATATAATGTGTTTCTGCTTGTCCACTCGCCTTCTGAGGACTGACCACAGGTTCTCTATGGGATTGAGATCCGGGGAGTTGCCTGGCCACGGATCCAAAATGTCAATTTAATGATCTTTGAGCCACTTCTGTATCACTTTGCTTTGTGACATGGTAACTCCATCATGCTGGAAAATGCACGGATCATCACCAAATTGCTCATGGATCGTTGGAAGAAGTCACTTTTGCAGGATGTTTTGATACCATTCTTTATTCATTGCAGTGTTTTTGGGCAGAATTATGAGAGAGCCCACTCCCTTGGTTATAAAGCAACCCCACACATGGATGGTCTCAGGATGCTTCACTGTTGGCACATCACAGGACTCATGGTAGCGTTGTCCTTTTCTTCTCCAAACAATCGATTGTCCAGATGTCCCAAACAGTCGGAAGGGAGCTTCATCAGAAAAAATAACTTTGCACTAGTCTTCTGCTGATCAAAAAACAGTGAAATTTGTTTTTTTGTGAAAAGTTCATTTTTTGGCCAATGAAACTTTTAGCAATTATTTAAAATGCATCTGATCACTCTACACAATAATCTAGAAACAATGTGAATGAACACCACAACAGCTTAAGCAGCAAACTTAGCAAAACACAAAATTTATGTCACTGCCAAAACTTTTGGCCATGACTGTATGTGTATATACTTCATATATACAATATGTATATATGTATATTTAAAATAAATGCTGTTCTATTGAACTTTCTGTTCATCAGATAATCCTAAAAAAAAGTATCACTGTTGTTCTGCTGAATACACAATTAAGCATTGTAGTCACCTGTAATGCAGAACATGTGAGACTCCACCTATACAGTTGGACAGAAAACAGTATGGATTCAGAGATGCTGCTCATTGGATTGCATTGCATTGTAACATTTGAAATGAGGGTTTCTGCAAGCTGTGACCAATTAAAGTTGAACAAAGCCAGCTCATCTGCTCAGCTCTGCTTTGTAGGTCAGTGAAATTGGCGGAAGTAATCATACAGCTCTCTCTCCCCCTCTCCCTCGCATGCACATGCTCTCCAACTTCTTTTCGCCCTAGGCACAGCTTTCCATGGCATCTCTGTAAGTTTTGCCATGTGCATGACACATCCTGCTCATCTTGAGCGTTCATATGCTCATCCATGATGTCGTTCTGACGCTTCAATATTTTGAAAGTAAATCTGCTGCTATCGTCGCTGTACAACACTTGTTAAACATGAGAGCTGAACGAATGCATAATTCATTTTCAGGCTTTTGAAGGATCCTGAATGAGCTTCTCATGGATAATAGGACACATGCTTGGCTTGGCTCACTGCATAGCTGGAACAAAAGCAAAGCGTATAGCTTGGTGCATAATGGCTGGTCATCTCTAGAAAAGTCAGATAGTTATGGGTGTGTCCTGCAGAAGCGTATGTGCCGGCTCGTGTTACAGCGATGGCCCTGTAGGAAAAGGCTGTCAGAGGATGCAGGCAGGAGTGATGGAGCTCGCTGTCTCCCTAATGGGCTGATTGCACAGGCTGTGGAGCCTCTGTTGCGTTCCTCACGCTGACCTTCTGTCTGACCTGCCATGACATCAGTGTGGCAGCTCTGCTGTCTGCTTGACTCATTATCTCGCAGTAACATGGCCCAGGATAGATGGAGACCACTAAAACAATTAGACTTTATCAGATCCCGATAGACAGACCAAAACCATTGTAAGGGTCTCCACCACAACAATTTTGATCTGTGATTTAAAGTAATGGTTTAGTTATGTGTTAGCATTCTATTAAAGGAATTTCCTGAGCTTCTATCAACAGCATTTGTGGCATAATGTTCATTTCTACAAAAAATGATTTGATTTATTATCATATATAAGCTGTGACTTTAACCAGGTAGTGGTACGCCTCCCACCAAAGGTATCCCTCAGAAATTTTCACTTTGACTAGTTTGTTCAAGAATGTTTCCAAATAACTTGTATACCTTCAACATACTTTGTCTATGCCAAGAAATGTAAGAAGATGTGATTTCAGTGGACTTGTATAATTTGCTTTGATTGAGGAAACATGAAAATATACAGTTACCATTTTTTTCCTTTGATTTAGTCATGTGAGTTTTGCATCAAATACTGTATCATTTTTGGTAATCGAGATCTGGCAGCAACAACACATTTTTCCACTTGGGTGAGCAATTCGTCGACAGCTTTTCTTGCGAATGAAATCACCCACATTCCAACAAACCAATGAGAATGCGCAACAGTGATGATGATTCTTGACAATTGAGCAAAGGTGCCAAATCTGTGTATCCATTTACCCAAATTCTTTGCTGGCACAGATTTGCAGAAAATTACCTTCATTTGGCAAATAAATAATTTATAGACCGTTACGTACATGTTACCAACATTTTATTATGTAAGCTTTATGTTACATCTCAAATGACAAGGGAATGTATATTAATGTTTATATTAACTAGCCAGTCCTGAACTCATTCTCTCAAATGGCTTGGGTATGCATAACATTCACAGTTTATATGGACTGCAAATCCCTGATTTATATATGTATGTTTTATTTTCCGTGGTTGCCACAAATGCCGTCAGTAGAGCATAACTTGTTTTGAACATAAAACATTACTTTATTAAGATTTCCTTTTTATTGTTATTAATTGTTGGGCTAATGAACTAGAGCAGTACGCTATTTTCCTCTGTATTCTCTAGTGATCTTGATTGACTTTCTATATGCTAACATAAAGCAAATATTCTAGTATATCTATGTTAACATTTTACTGAGCATATCTTCATATTTTCTCTATTATCCCACAGGTTACCTTCACAAAACGGAAGTTTGGTTTGATGAAGAAAGCTTATGAGCTCAGCGTATTGTGTGACTGTGAGATTGCCCTGATCATATTCAACAGCTCGAACAAACTCTTTCAGTATGCCAGCACTGACATGGACAAAGTCCTACTTAAGTACACAGAATACAACGAACCCCATGAGAGCAGAACCAACTCTGACATTGTAGAGGTGAGTGTGGCCTACTTCTGATTTCTGTAACAAACAATCTTTAATGATTGAATGATTTTTCCATTTAATGTAGTGTAATTTCAGTACTGTGGCCCCAAAAAGTAATTGGGACAATTTTGGACATTGACATCACATTTTAAAATGTTTGACTTTTATTGAATTAGATAATAGAACATGAAACCAAGTGACTTATTCAAGTATATTTGGCTAGAGCTTTTCTTAGAAATATTTTTACGTCTTGTAACCATTTTTGCTTTACTTTTGCTTTTAACTGGCCCAAGGTGAATTTTTTTTAAATGTATGACATGAGTTACCCTCGTGGTGTGATATTTTGTTATATAATGTGCAAAGTCCAAATACTTTTTGGAGTCAATGTATTTTTTTTTTGTATATTTTAATTTGACTACCTCTTTGTATCAAAGTATGAGACAATAATTCCCTCAAAATATTTAGCCTTTTATCAGTACCTAGTTCAGCAGTCAGTTTTAGGTTGAAGTTCAGAAATTATCTATGCACAAATGTTCAGCATGTGTGTCCCATAGTGCCATAGGGGACAAACTGATGTCTGGACAGCACGTAACAGTTTCCTTCTCATCCGTGCTTAGACAGGGTTCAGGACATCTGCAGCCGCTGATAAGTCCAGACGTACTTAAGTACTGCATCTGACAAAGGGGTATAGATCATGTAACTGGACACATGGCACAGAACATCCTCTTTTTTTGTCCAACATTCATGTTTGCCTCAATTAATGACTGTGTAAAAAAATTCAGTTTATACAATTCGAAAATTGTTTGCTCATCATAAAGCCTTCCCAGCTGGCCATATGAGTGCTGTGCAAACCAAAACCATACTACTGTAGTGTTCAGTACGCAGGAAGCAGGATTTGCCAGGCATGCACTGTCCTCATTTGTCAAAGCAACATTCCAGTTTTATAGGTCGAGACAATGTGTGAGCAAAGAATAAGATAATTTATGACAGAATTTTAATTTTTGGGTGAAGTACCACTTTTACTTAAAATAAGTCTTTTACTTAAAAAAAAAAAAAAAAAACGGCATAAAAGAAGTCAGCTGGGCTGAGCTATCTTTTATTCATGCTGATGACACTGCTGGTGAATTACCTGCATGGCAGAGCTGCAGAAGAATGCACAGAGCCATCCACGAGGCTTGAGCTCTTCATCAGCGGCCCATCTGCTCTCTTCCCTGCACAGAGAGGGCCCTCACTTGCATTAAAAATGAATGGACACACTCTCCCCCCTTATGTAACAGCCACCCCATGTCAGCTTTACCTCTTTACAACAGCTTTTAAAGAGGATGCTGTGCCCCCTCTCAGTGACTTTATGTCTTTCCCTCTGTGATTTTAAAGAATGGGAAATCACTGTGTTCTGTGTTGCAAAACATCCTCGTGCAGCACTAAAGAGCCTCTTTGCTGTTGTGGATTGCAATTCGATGTCTTTTTAGAGTGAAAAAATGTTAGCTAAATCCTGTAAGTGTCTTGTAGGACACCCACAAACACATGCAGAGACATGTACATCCGCACAATCAGGCGTCAGCAGATTTCTTTCTGATGCTTACTGGTGTGGAATGCAAGCTGCCGCTTTTCCCACGTCGGCCCTCCAGCCGCTGTGGAGGAGCCTGACCCAATGCATGAAGGACCCCAACAAAGCAGCCTTGTCCCTGCTCAGTGGGCCAGCATCTACTCATAGCTGCAGAGATCGCCCACAGCCAGATCTCTTTCTGTGGCCATGATTCCATAAAGAAGCAGAGCAGAAATAAGCTATTGAAGCCTCCACTCTCTTTTCCTGCCCAGCTACATGTTGTATAGTGCTGGAGAAACCAGCAGCAGAGGTATCAGCCCTGGACTGCCATCAGAAGTGCTTCTGACTTTGATTCTTGTTGAAGGCAGTATGACTCCATCGAGACACATGTAAAGATCTGTGCTGGAGTTATATAGTATACCGATATAGCCAAAGGATATCAGTACCCAGCAATATTGATTTTATCCATAAAAACACAGGCCTGTGTTCTCGTATTATACAGTGTGACATTCTGAAAGAGGATACCATATAGTGATATTATTAATCAAACAGCATGTATAAGGAGGAAACAACCCAGAGCCCTTTTAAGAAAAGTCAGTCCACTCTGTGGCCATCTAGGCAACAATTCGTACAATATAGGCACTCAAGTTCAGCTCCTGTTTAGTTCAGTGGGGGTAAATTCTTCAAACCTTTTGACTTTCCATTTTAAAACGGTTTTGACAAAATGGCGTTGTTAAGGTTGCTGCTGTATTTGCAATCATGCTACACTGAAAACTGAAAAAAAAAAAAATTCTAGTGATCGGATACAATTAGTAATTTGTATTATTATTTATTGGTATTTGCTGATGTTAGATATTTAATTGTACAATTAGTTCCTCTTTTTACATTTGTACATAAAATTAAAACACTAATGATTAACATTTTTAATCTTTAGCAAAAAAAATAAATAAATAAAAAATAAAATAAAATATATATATATACAGTATATATATATTCACACTGTGTACATAATAATGTTCTGATGTAACTGTAGCATTTAAAACAGCTTATTTTAGTTTTTAGTGTTCTATTGATTTAGTTTACACAAAATAGTACATAATTTTAAAGGGGTCATGGCCCTTTTTTATTATGTTGTACTGTTCTCTGAGGTCCACTTATAATGTTATCAGGTTCTTTACATCAAAAAACATTATAATTTAGAAGTAATAGGCTATTTTTCTGTCCTGTTTTGATGCCCCTCATCGGAACACTCCGTTTGAATAGGTGTGGTGGATTGTAAACTCGGAAGTAAACGCCCACTGCTATGATTGGCTAACAGCTGTGTATGTTTGACAGCCTTCATCCTTCATAGATGGATGCTGCTGTGATTTAGGTTAAAAATGCATAAGTACTCAGTACATATCAAATGATCTGTAATAAAAGACAAAGCAATAGTGACCACGTAATAAAAAACAGTTACACTTGTGTGGAGTCGGATCCAATATAGTCGCACAGCATCGTCTTTTAATATCAATCTTTCTGAAAATCCTGTGTCGAATTGTGCCTTGTTTGTAAATGAATCCACTGTAAAATGAAGTGAAAAAAGGACCAAGTTCTTACTGACGTGGTCTGGAACTTCATTAAATATAAAGTTCATCCACTCTTTCCTAATGTTGGGATCCGAAGGAAGGCAATGCAAAGACTGTGTTTTTCCACAACTGGGCACTGTACAGCTTCTTACTGTCTGCGGAGCCATCTTTATTGTTTGATTTCTGCGTAGACCTGTGTTTGCCTCTTTTGTTAATTACACCATGCGCGAATCAGTGGACGGGACTAAACAGGCAGTGATGTCGAAGCAGGCGTTGATCTTCTTCTGCGGAGGTGGGGTTTAGCCACACTATTACACCGTAAAGTGGCACATTCCACAACCTGTCGTTTTGGCTGATTGGCTTCAATATAAGCTGTTTTTAGACTAACAAGAAAGTTCTGAAACTTACAGGATATTTTTATAGTACAATGACCTCATATATGTCAAAAGATCAAGGGAATTTAGGTTTCTCAGTTCATGACCCCTTTAATATTAGCTATTTACTTGTCATCAGCCATAACATGAAAATGATTATTGACTTCAATATCATTATAAGCCTGAATTTTAATAGGGGTACATCCCTAATTTTTACAGGCTATATGTTTGGTTTTAGAGATTTTTTTCTAGAGAATCAAGACTGTTTAAAATGAAATGAGGCTGTTTTGACAACATTTCTTTCTTACAGGTGCCATATTAAGCACTGCAGTTTCATACTCTTGTGTACTGTATTTGAAATAACTTTCTGTCTGACTGTTTGTCCATCTATATAGAAACTGCTTTCTAACAGATCTAGTGTTATTTAACTTATGTAACCATGGTTCCCTGAGTAGGGAACATGACCACGGGTCACGACGAGGCGTCCCCCATAGCGACCCCTAGAGGACGCAGTTCGAAGTTCCCATGAAAGGGAACTCTCATTTCCATTTCCTGCTGTCTGGTGAAATGTGTTTCACATGGAGGCACTTATCTAAATAAATAGATTGTGTTAAAGTGATAAATGCCACACAAACAGTTGCACTTTTTTTTCTCATTTGTCCTTTTTCTGTCCTCTACAACAAATGCATATTTTGCAGCTTTTTCATTGACCAGCATAAATTCCTGTTCCATGTGAGAAGCCAAATCAAAAGTCACATTCCTACTTGCCACCACCATCTGTAGCAAAAGCCCTGGCCTTGTGTAGTCAAGGGAACAGATGTATTGCTTTCCACAGATGGAAGTGTGAGTGGGGCACAGTGTGATGGCTAGGCTCAGGGCTATGGACTTTGTCTCAAGTCTGGCCCGCAGTCGGTACCGGAGCGCTAGACCGAGATCACCACGCCTGAGCAAAAAGTAGCATGTACATGTGTGTTTTTGGTGTGTGTGCACCTGCAGCACGATGGTTCAACTTCAATAACACTCCAGGCGACAGGTGAATCGTTGCGTGAAATCTCCCTTTGTGGATCCTGTCCACTTCTCTGTCTGATTAAAAGTGGCCGCGATCCCATCTGTGTCTCCCTTTTCAAAGGCTGTGGGTCTGAAGCAAGCCCTTTTATTTACTGAGTAGCAGCGCAGGATTGATGGAGCGTTTCCTCAGAGGTTACAGCATGTCCATTCAGCGGCTCGCAGGGGTCTTTAAGGACCACTGGCACAGTATTTGGTCTCCACTAGCACACTTTGTCCTTGTTCTCACCTTTTGCATTGCTCAGAGAATGTGAAAGGAAGTGGAGTTGAACCGACTTTTTTATGTATGATGGACCTTAGTCTAGAGATTGTGCATAATAGCACAGCCCAACACATTTCACTTTTATAAGACCGTGAAAGTTCTCTGACCTTTTGTGAAAGCATAAGTTAGGATATTGCTGGTTTTAAGCCATATTCACTGTTTTTCTAATAGAAAAAGTTAAAGGAATGTTCTGGGCT